TGCTAACATATCAAGTGCTATGCCTTCATATGCCTGTTGTGACAAACATGTTTGCAGTGTGTTGATACCTCAGCCACCAAAACTCTGGCGCAAGAAATTTGTAGGTTTGGACGACGAGGCCAGAGTATTCATATCGCTGGGAGGGGAAAGTTGTGACTAAAACAGTTTGTCTTACATCCAGTCACAGAGACAGAGAGGGCCCAGTTGCCGTAAAGTGTACTTTAATATACTGTTTATATAACAGTGCATGTATGACTTGTATTTATATACACATATTTTTTGTGTATTTTTGTGTGTGTGTTCATGCCTATGCACATGCAGGTATACATTGGGTGCCTAAATCCTTTTGGGTATGCAACACTGTCAGCTGCCAGAGGCTGTGCATGTTTGTATGCATGTGTTTGTGTTTATGTGTGTGTGTGTGTGTGTGTGTGTGTGTGTGTGTGTTGATGAGCAGCCTCTGGGGTCCATTATGCCTGTGACAGCCCCACAGCAGGAAAGCAGCCAGCCAGATAACTTATGAAAGCAGTTTAAAGCAAAATTGAATCCACAACTTATGAATTATTAAACTTATTACACCTCTGTGAAGATCGCTAAACTCCGAAGCACAACAACAATGGCCTCCTTTCCACTGTCACTGCTGGGAAGAGAAATGATTTCTAAGCATTACCAGTGGGAAAGTGATGCATATTTCAGGTGTTAGATAGCATGAAAATGTGTCATGTATGGAGATTATTAAAGGGAAAACACTTTATATATTGAGGTTGTTTGGGAAACTACTTGATATGGAAATGGGAACACTTCATACAGTGATGTTGTTGGACTGTTTTATGTAATTACATTTTCTTTGTCTGAGGAAGAACGTCAAAAGACTGATTAAGAAGATTTTCATGTTCAACGATGTGTCCCTGTGTCAGTCTCATTACATTTAATTATGCTTTACTTTCTATGTGCAGGTATTATCACAATTACCAAGTGAAACAAGTTGGCAGTGAACATCTGCCATAAAACATAATTCAAGATCTGCAGAAAGAAAAAAGATCAGAGTTCTGTTTGATGAGTTTTGGAAAGTATAGGAAACTGGATGTTAATGCTTAAGAATACACTGAGGAAGTAGATGTTAACATGAACATCAGATAATTTGTTAACGTTTGCTGCCTGCCGGGCCAACTAACGGGCTAATTTTTATAGATACTTTTATCACTAATTTCTATTAATAATGGTGAGAATGATCACCCAACCCTGTGGTGTCCCTAAACTTTTTTTTTCCCCAACTTTACTATTTTCAATTGAATGAATCTTTGCGTTTCTCCATTTCTGCTGGAAGCATGCTGGCAACTGTTTACCTCACACATTGGTTATGACAACATTATAAAGTGACAATATGTCCATGTTGTTTTAATGGGTTGTTCTACTGCCCACAAATGGCCAAATCAATTCAAAGTACTTTAGGCTACAACTCAGGAGTTCCTTGTAGATATTACAAAGTGCTGTGTGTTGCAGTAATTTCAGTTCTGAAACAGCTTGCAGCTCATGACAGTTTTTTCATTTATTGGAAAGAAAATTGCTTCATGTTGGGTGGTGCATTATGCAAAAGTCAGTCTGAAAGACAGAATGACAGCATCCAACAGCCAATAAGTTTGTGGTCCATGGGACGAAAGATGACTGGCTGGACATGATGGCATAATAATTTATGAATAAAGAAGGTCTGACAGCAGAGTTGACAAAGATGTTCCAATCAAAGTTTCAGAGCACTAGAAAATAGAACAAATCTGACCAAAAAATGTAGCGCTTTCTCATCAATGAATGATTTTTCAATACCTACAGTTTCAGTACTGTTCATCATGTTCAGGGGATGCATCCTATCCCAGTCTATCACATGTCAAACACACATATGGACTACATATAACACATACTGGATAACAAATTCACTCTCACATTCACCTGCATGTATTTGGATTCTTGGAATAAAAGCTGTGAGCTGACAGTTTTAACCACTGAGCCACTACAAAAAAATTTTATTTTAGTTTTTCAAGTATAGAACAATAAAACCACCAGTTAAGGTTGATGACAGTATCATGAAAGATGTCCTACATGCAAGAGCTTGAGTCAATAGCTAAAAAAACCAAATCTTTATTTCAGTTTGTTTGCTACAGTGAAATTGAGACTTGAAGGCAGTCTTGCGGAACAGAGTGTGGATGTAATTTAAAGGAGAATTAAAAGCACAATGTAAGAGATAAAGGATTTTGCAGGACACACTCTGCAATTGCATTTTGAAAATCCTGTCTAACCGCTTAACTCTGTTGATGATAGTAAGCTGGTTTAAAATACTGCCTCAGGTGCTATTTATTCTGAAAGTTTAGCAGAGACATTTCTGTTTGAGCTGGGGCGTAATTGTTCCTGATTATAATGCAACTTAATGACACTTCTGGTGTCTATGAAAGTAGTTGAGGACTGGCTTATGAATTGTTAAACCTCTCCCACCCCTCTGATGGAGCAGAGGTTGTAAAGTAGGACACATCCTCTCCTCTCAGAGCCACAACAACAACAGCCTCGGCTCCACAGCTGCTGTCAAACTGAGTTAAAAAGTGTGGGTTAGCAAAATACTTAATATCCTACATATATCATAGATGAGACCCAATGAAATATAAAAGTATTCATAAACGGTCATGACTTCTTCATAATTAAAATTACGAACCCTAAAACACTTGGTAAGAAAAATGTTCACAGATTAAAGTGACACAAGACACACAGCATGCCAGCTTATACTGGCACAGAACAGGGAAGCATTAGCAGTAGCAGAAGTGGATGAGGTGTATAAACGTCCCCTCCTATAGGCTAAGAAAGTAATAACATTTTATTGTATTACCTGTTCACTAAAATTTAATTTGTCTCAGGAAAAAATGAAACATTATTGTGTCATACTGACATCAAATGGACATTAAATTCAGTTTATATGTACAATATTTCATTATAGATACTTCACAACGCCACCATTGTCACCTAAGGAACTGCTACTGCTGGTATTTTTGTTAGCAATAGGTGGCACTGGAGCTGCAGGTCCAATGCCGCAGAACTAACACTGAAGCTTTGTTATTGGATTAATTCTCTCTGCCTGGTTTCAGGTGATTCACATTCATGGCACTGTCCAAAACGATCCGTCAAAAACATGCCAACCTTCACCAGCTGTAGTAAAGGAAAGTGATAACAGCAGCAGTTTGGATACGCCATGGTGATATCTCTTCAACACTTCAACCATGTATTCACAGATTTTACATCATTTTGTCACTTTAACATCCAATTATTTTTTTTGTTTTTTTGATTAAGGAAATAATATATAGATACATTACTATTTTCTATATACCCATTGATTTATTGAGTCATCTGCATTCTGTCCTGTTTCTGTCTGTGCCTCTTCAAAATGCCCTGATTGATGAATTGATTTGCTGGTTGATTGATTGGTTGGATGGTAATTTGGCATCGTAGTTTGAAAGTGATGACTACTTTCAGGACTCCAGCCTGTGCAGTTTATTACTTTAAAAGTTTAATTTTAAACAGATACCTGTGGAGATCCAAGCAGAACTGAATTTATAACTTATCAAATATTAAAATCCTCACACGTCTCAGCCAGAAATTCTCTGCCAGAGACGATAAAACAGGACATCTGTTCCCTCCTGTGACCTACAACAATGATGGCCTCTGTTTCATTGG